CACAGCAGCTTCAGTACCTCACCTGTCATGGTTTCTCTAAAGCAGACTTTACAAATCAGCATAGATTATTCTAAGTCAACAGCTACAAACAGGTTCACAAGACAAAGTCAGATCTGTTTTCAGTAGAATCCGATATCAACATATTATTCACAGAAACACACAACTTGAGGCCATGGAGATTCTCCTGTCAACATCATGTGCCTGGGAGGATTTGAGAAAATCATTTTTAATTAAAAGTGCCAAACATTAGAATCAACCTGAGATATTCGAAATACTAAAGAGAATTAACCAGATAGGATGACTGGCCTAAATTTCACAGTTAATAAAGGGAGTAAAATCATTGACTTAACCTTTGTGCTCAGATGCAGGTTTAATTCCTACTACACATAATGAAAACGCTGCCTGCAAACTCCATAACCAAACTTCATAAAAATGCAGCATTATCATTTGAAACCTACTGTATTTTAAAAATGATTCCAAGAGAGGTTATGCAGATCTGGATGCACCAGGAGGTGAAGGAGGTTCAGGAAAGTCCAGGAGCAGAGAAGAGTGATGAAGTCTCCTCCCATAGTAAGCACTGCAAAAGTATTTGATAAATATTTGATACGGAAATAAAGTGGAGGTAAATTCAGGGTTTTCTTAGCAGACATATCCTGGGTTCATTTTTATATTAAAAATGAACAACTGGGACTTCCTTGGTGGTCCCAATACACTTGGGAGTCCCGATGCACTCCCAATTACAGGGGGCCTGGGTTCGATTCCTGGTCGATTCCTGGTCAGGGAACTAGGTCCCGCATGCCACAACTAAAGATCCTGCATGCCACGACAAAGACCCGGTGCAGCCAAATAAATAAATAAATATTAAAAAAAAAAACAGAAAAAAGACCAAACCTAAAAGAAAAAAAAGAACAGCTGATGTGGTTACTATTTCTCAGATTGTTGAGGGATCCAAACTCTAAGTTTCTCTCGGTATTAGTTTGCTAGGGCTGCTGTAACAAAAACCACAGACGGGTGGGGGAAAAACAACAGAAATTTATTTCCTCAGTTCTGATGGTCCAAAATCAAACTACTGTTGGCTTTGATTTCTTCTGAGGCCTCTCTGGGCTTGCAGATGGCTGCCTTCTCCCTGTGTTTTCACATGGCTTTTCTCTCTGTGCGTGTGCATTCCTGGTGTCTCTTTTTGTGTACAAATGTCTTCTTATTTTTAGGACACCAGTCATATCGGGTTAAGGTCCATCCATATGATCTCATTTAACCTTAATGATCTTTTTAAAGGCCCTATCTCCAAATACAGTCACATTTTGAGGTACTAAGCAACGCCTAGTTAAGGCTCTAGCATGTGAATTTGGGTGGCCCACAACATTCCCATTGCCTGAATCCTCAGCCCATTTATTGGAGAGTCTTTGAGCCAAGCTGAAACAAATTTCACCTGGTATTTGAACACCTTCCCCAAGCCAAAACAAGTTTCAGATTTTCACCAAACTCATGTTGGCAGGGTTCCCCTTGTACCCTCTGTCTGCCCCCCACTGTAAGTATAGAGGTACTGGTTTATTCTAATAATAGAGCAAAATTTAGAGAAAACATCTCTTTACCTACTTGAAAGCTATCCAACTTCATTTTTCCTAAAAAGAAGAGGCAATACTTCAGATATTTACTTGAATCAACTTATTGGAGTTGATTGTCCCATTTGCCCTGTTACCTGCTAGACAACCACAAGGTTACCTTTATCTTTGTTTCTATAACCAACAAAGGTGAAAATACTATCAGGTAGAAAAGTATATAATTTAGTCAATGACAAAGGCAAAACATTCCTGTGGCATGTCTTTTGCGGGGCGTGTGGAGAGATCCTGCAGCTAGACATCAAGAGTTCATGCTGGGTGAGGGCCTTTAGCTCCCTGCTTCTCATCTCAAGCCACTGCTCTAAGTTACTCTTCTAGAGAGAAGATGTATAATGAAGGCTTGACTATATCTTACAGGTGCCTCAGGATATTGTGGAATGTTGTAACTCTAATATTTGTCAATTACATAACATGACATGAATATGTCAATGATGAAGAAAGAGTGATGTTGTACACCACTGACAGCAAAATCTTCCACCTAACAGGCGACCCTATTTCTGGTGACCTTGCCACTGATTTTCACTGTTTTCCTGCCCCCAGAATGAGATCTCTGACACTGCAGACTTTGCGTTGCAAAAAGTCCTCCAGGGACTTCCCTGGTGGTCCAGTGGTTAAGAATCTGCCTTCCAATGTGGGGGATGTGGGTTCAATCCCTTGTCGGGGAACTAAGAGCCCACATGCCATGGGGCAACTCAGCCCGTGCGCTGCAACTACTGAGCACACGGGCCACAACTAGAGAGAGCCGCCAGCGCCGCAATGAAGAGCCCACGCACCGCAATGAAAGATCCCACATGCCGCAACTAAGACCCAATGCAGCCAAAAAAAAAAAAAAAAAAGTCCTCCACAAACAAGTGGATGAGTTAACACACTCTCCCCTGATATAAAACAACTCAAAATGCTTAAACATTGCTGAAGAAAATCACACAGCCATGCACAAAAGGCTGCCCCTTGGTCTCCAATTCCTCTTTTGTCCTTGACACTGACAAGCAAGCTTTGCATTTCTGGTCAGCTTCCTCTCCCATTTTCCGTTGTGATATTAACATTTAACCTTCTCAAGTCTTTCCCTTTCTGCTACGCTTAGGGTGACCAATCTTCCTGGTTTGTCCAGGACTAAGTGGGTTCCCTGGTAGGATATGGGACTTTCAGTGCAAAAACCTTTTTACCCTCCTAACCCCTCACTTATCATCAAATGACTACCCATATCTCAAAAAAGAAAATTAAGGTTATCAGGTGTGAACTGCCCCCAAATTTTTTCTCCACCAACCCCTACCTGGACATACATCTGTAGCCTTCACTTGCCTTTAGTCTTAGAGGCTAGCATACCCTCTCTGTTGCAATTTCAACATTCCCTCCTCTTTCCCCTCATTATACAAATATGCACAAGTCTTCCCCATCTTCAAAATCGGATATCCTCCCCCCACCATGTTCCCCTTTATTGACAGCCCTACTCCAAGCCTTTCCTTCACCATAAACTTCCTGAAAGAGATCCAGAATGATCTCATATACTCCAATGGCTCCTCCCAAATTTTTATCTCCAGCCCACTCCTCTCTACTAAAAGGCTATGTCTTCATTTTCCGAATGAACATCTTATCTTGATAACCCACAAGTTTCTCAAACTCAAAATTTCTAAAACCAAGCTACCATTCTTCTTTCCAACACGCCCCTTCTTCTAAAGTTACTGTGCCAGCAAATGGAACCACAATCTGCCCAAATTTCCAAACCAGAAACCATGCCCTTTCTTTCATCTTCTCTTTATTCCCCACCCCCTACACCCATACTAGCCTCCTGTCTCCTAAATACCTTCTCTTATTCATCACTTTCACTCCTGGACTCCACTGTTATCACAACAGCCTCCTCGCTGGTTTCTCAGGCCCCACCTCCTTCAGACTATCTTTCATGAGCTTGTCTGTGAGGTCACAGATCAAGTTATTCCTACTATGTGGGAGTATAGAAAATCTTTGATTTAGCCTTCTAAACACCAAACTGGCTACAAGGATGTCTCCTTGGGCTTCGTGAACAATTTCTAATTTGTTCACAAAAATGACTGCATCGATGTCCCCACTGGCTTTGTGGCTGATTCAAACAACAGTATAAATTAAAGTAGTCAAAGGTAGTCAAAAAGGCTGCCCGTGTTTCTTTGTAGGAATGCCATGTATAGTCCCTATATCTGTTTTACCCTGGCCTCTGGGGGTTAATGTTTGCTAACAAGTTGAGCTGTTACAGAAGCCACTGGTCATTTCACACCATTAGCTGTTATGATTTTCAACTTATGTCCTACGATATCTCCTCCTGCTTCTCTGCTCCAGCCACAGTGGCAAACTTGTCATTTTCTAAGTAAGCCACTTTCCCTCCCAACCCAGTGCCCTTGCCTGGAATACCCTTCTCCTCCTTCAACATTCTCAAACTAATCTATTCAGAAATTAACAATAACACTTTTCACTTGGTAAAAGAAAAGACCACTGGAGGGTCGCATCTGCCTAGAAGTTGTGCTGCTCCTGGCACAGTTTGCAATCAAAGCTCTTCTTTGCCCTGCTCTGTACCATAGGAGGGCTGATCTGGTGTTTCCCAGGTTCTGCATCAGCTGGTTTCTTGCTGGATTTAGCTGAAAGGGGGTCCTGGTGATGGATTAGAGAGTGAAAGACAGGACTGCAGAATACTTCTCTCTCACTTATCTTCTCCATAGCTCCAGCTCCACTACACACGTTGCCCTGTTACATCTTCTACAAAGTGACTGACCCCTGGTGTCTGATACCTGCTTCTTCTGTCCATCTGGTCTACCTGGGGCAACAGCCTTCTGAGATTGCTCAGCTCTGATTGCCTTCGAAGCCCCTCCTGTCCTCTGTGTAACCAATTCACTATGGTCAATTCTTTCCCTTATATATAATACTCAGAGTGGCTTCTGTTTTTCCTGGTTGAACTTGGATATAAAAAAAACAAAAAAAACATTTCCTAAAAAAAACAAAAAAACATTTCCTCATCTCTACTCCTCCTGCCTTGAGCCCACCAGAAAGGCTCTCAAGGGCTCTCTTCCTCCAGGTTGCTGGTTTAACTTTTGTGTCTCCACAGCACCTGTGTATACTGCTATGTGTTGGGATTGTGGTTTTCTTATCAGCTCCACCCCTGGCTGAGCTCTTGAGGGCAGAGACAATGTCCTGTTAATCTCAGCACCCGCCATGTCCTGCTCACAGCTTAGGGGACATTAGGTGCTCAAGATTTTAAAACACACACGTGCACATGCATGCACACACACAGCTTTTTCGGTCTAAAAAAGGATTCCATGTAATATGCTAGAAATATACAAAGATTTAAGGCAAGACCCGGAATAGAGTAACAAAGAATTTCAGTGAAAGCTAGTAAAAATGTGGATTTTTTTTTCTTACTGTGGATTTTTTCATGAAAGGGGAAGGCACGCTAGTAGTTGGGTTTCCTTCTTCTCTTTGGAGTACGGCATGTTGTTTTTCAGTCCGCTGGATCACAGTCCTGTCATTGGTGGAAAATTCACCTTTTATTTCATTGCAGCAACTTAATCAGTACAGGTATTAATTACCCTAGCAACTGCTTTGGAACAATAAGGCACTGTCTGGTGGCCAAGCAGGGAAAAATCAAAGGAAAGCATCTCAGGATTCTAAGAGACCCTCACAACTTTGAGGACAGAGGACTATTCCCTTAGGAATCAGGACTCCTCCAGAAAAAATCTGGAGCTTTTTGAGAGAGGAACTTAATTATTATATTCAATATAATTTAAAGCAACTCCTTACCACATTTTGCAATGCAACGTGATTTACAAAGCAGAAATACAGTAATATCATTTAGAGACCAGGCAAAAGATCCATTTAAGATAACAGATATGATGTTCTAGCTGTAGAGTCAGGATTATTAATCAGAGTACCTGGAAATTTGGTCGCTGATTTAGCGCCATCCCCATCGCACCCCACCACAACTCTCCGCTGGAGAATCCTTTTCAACTTGGGCGTAAGTGTGGTACAACAGTATGTCTCTATCTGGACTGTATTTTTATGGACATCTTGAATTCAATGTACCATAAAATCCTTAAACATTAAAGTCATCGCAGCACCCTTAACATGGCAATATTTTTACTGCAAGGAAACCAGAAAACAGGTTTATAATCATCTCCTTAAGACTGTGGAGGGATGTGCAAAAAGAATTCATTCCCCCTTAATCGTAACAGTGTATTTCCTATTATAAAATGTGCCTAGAGTTGACTTCCTGCTCTGGTGTGAATCACAGTGGTGGCTGTCTTGGCAAGGTATGGCCCGTGTGTGTGTGACATACTGCAGGTACCAGCTGCAAAAAACTCACCATTGTCTTTCTGTAATGAAGTCAGTTGAAACAGCAAAGTGTCCTAAAGTGAATCCAAGTGTGCCTAGTGTCCAAAAGGTCAATCATGTCATGGTGTCAGACAATTGGGTTTGCAATGCTACTAACTAGGGTACTTTTGTTTTTGCTCTTTTGTTGTTGTTGTTGTTGTTTTGTGTGTGTGGTACGCGGGCCTCTCACTGTTGTGGCCTCTCCCGTTGCGGAGCACAGGCTCCGGACGCGCAGGCTCAGCGGCCATGGCTCACGGACCCAGCCGCTCCACGGCATCTGGGATCTTCCCGGATCGGGGCACGAACCCACGTCCCCTGCGTCGGCAGGCGGACTCTCAACCACTGCGCCACCAGGGAAGCCCTGTTTTCGTTTTTTAATAAAGTAATGCTAGTCTATTAAAATAAAAGAAATGTATTACAGCAAATATCGAATCAGACATTGTGACACAATGACAGGTCTGAATCACACAGAAGATTTCGTATTTAATTTCCAGTAAACCCCAGACTTTTGCTTTAGAGGAATTTTACTTGAAATAAGTGTCTCTGTCTTATATATTTTTTGCTAGTCTGAGATTCCACCCCTTCTAATGATTGTTATAGCTAACTCAGACCTTTTGTAGTGAAGGGAGTGGGTATTGAACCAGCTCACAATTTAATTTTTTTGCAAAAGACTTCCAGAAAATTTATTTTACTTTATGAGATTTTATAGTCATTTACTTGGATTTTCACATTTATTTCTTGTTCTTTTTGAAAGATGTTTTCTTCTAAAATGAAGATCCCATTAGTTTTCAAATGCTCCATGTGGCAATGAAAAAGACTTTTTCTAAAAATAAGAAACCAAGCTGATGCCACCTTGATGGAAAAAAATATATAAAAATAGTAAATGGTTACATATAAATAATATGTCTATTAAACTAAGGTCCATCCATTTTGTTGAAATTTTAAAAATAATTTTTAAAAAATTTTAATGTTTTACTTTTTCCTTTAATGAATATTTCTTCATTTAGGGAAAAACTAATTTTTTAAATAACAAATGTGAATTGAAATATAGAAAAAAGTTTGTTTGAATTTAATACATTTGAAAAGATTTTTAAAGTTTTCTTTGTAAACTTTGTATATGGAATTGTAAAAAGACACTAGATATATATTTTCCTACCCGACACATTTAGATGAATCGAGCTGAATGATTTTTAACATTAACCTTTTAAAACTTAACTTGGTAGTTACAGATGTTTTAATCTTTGGAAGTCATTACATGTTCATTTTCCTTTCAGCATTAATTATACATAATGACCTCCACCTAGCACATACTCTGGACAAAAACTATACTTATTTACATTTTCTAATGCTTTTAAAAATAAAAATAGCTTTCATTATTAACAATAAGGGCAAATTTTCAACTATTAAAATCTTGGTATTTTTGAAGACTTGTCTTCGGCTATTCTAACTAGAAAATTCTATCATAAATAAAACTGTTTCATAAATTCTCTGAATAATAGCTTAATTACTTATAAACTCTGGAAACAATTAGTTTATCATCCTTTGAAGTAAGTAAGGCAACTTGCCAGGCTGAGAGCAAAGCGCTTGTCACTTTTTCATGTAATGAGCTTAGTTTCTTTTTGTTATTTCAGATTATTTGGAAAAGGAAACTCAGTCGAATACACTTTAATGTTCAGAAGATTAAAAGTTGAATCATTCACTTCATAAATGGCTTCTGCAATAACACTTATAAAGTACCGAAAGAAATACTGAAGGCTCTGAAGATTATAATTTATGTGCTTATGGAAATCACTGAAACAGATATTCTGGTGAAAAGATAAAGTTGTGCTTGAGTGACACCGAGATTGTAAAAGATTGACGAGGACCGTCCTCGTTCTCAGCCTCATAATATCATCCCTCGAACAAACCACCAAATTACTGCCAACAGACTCTTCTCTAAGAAGCTTCTTGCTCTCTTTCTCTCCTTACCTGCCCCCACCCCATCCCTTCTACTTCCCGCTGCCTCTTGGTCTCTATCTCCACCCCACCCCATCCCTGCCTCCACACACACCCTTCTCCTTCACCCCACCCGACAGCCCCTCCCTTTTCCTCTGCGACTCTCTTTTTCATCGCGGTTCACTGTCAGGTGTCTTCATCCTGACCAAACATATCAAAGGAAGTTCTGAATATAAGTAGTTATTGTGAGACTGACACACTCTATGTCTGAAATTACTCCCCACCCCAAAAAATGAGGAAAAAGGGAAAAAAGTATCGGAAGAGAATGCTGACTTCAACCTGTCAGGCTCCGATCCGCCTGAGTTGTCGCCGAGCGCAGGTGAGAGGTGAGAAGCGTTCGGAGGCCGCCTTGTTCAAGGCCAGCCGGGTGAATATTCTTGCAGCCACTGCGTCAGATGGAGCCAATACCTGAGGTCGCCCTCTCCTTTCTGCCCTCGCCGGTCAACGAGCAAGGTCATCTATAATTCCATCACCTGACTCTAGGATTGTTTACCCTGCGCAGGGGAGAGAAACTGAGGGCCAAGAAAAGCAGACAGGTCCAGACAGGTCCAAGAGCCAGGAGGCTCCCCCTGGGACCTGTCCAGCTGGTGAGGGCCCGTACCAGATCGAGGACAGCAAACTTTTTGCATCATTTTGCATATTTCGAAATGATATTAACATATTTCCGATACCGCCCCCCTACTGGAAGTCGTAATTGCAACTCACCCTTCCCTTTGTCGGCGGGAATCGCTTTAAGCAGTCCCAGCAAGTCAACCTACTTTGGGGAGGCATTTTGCATTTTTCATTGCCCCTCACCTCTCCCCAAACCTATATGTCAAGGAATAGGGAGTTGAGACATGACACATTAATGTTTTTATCAGGGGACGCTCTCTGCTCCCACAGAAAGGGAGGGAGACTGGGAGGAAGGGGGGGCGCTGAGAAGACATCCCTCCGCAGCGCCTGTGGAAATTCATATTCAGTGTATGTTCCTCTCTCACCTGAAATAAATTCTGCAGGCCTACCCACACAAACCCCGCAGCACTTATTTATTTGCATGTCATGCTTTTAATATGGTAGAAGGCAAGACGGATCTTTGAGGAGGGGAGATGAGTCTCACCTTTCAGATTCGCTCTCTTAAATAAAAAAAGAATTGTCCGGCTGGGCGCCTAAGAATTTATCTTGAGTTTGTGGTCATTATCTCTATTATATAGACCTGGCAATAAATAAATCGGGTAGTTACTACCCAACAATAAAACCGTAGTGTATGGGACACGTTACTATTACTTTCTCAATAATCTGCGGTTTCTTTCACTTTAAATCTTCCCAGTCTCGTCTTCCCTCTTGTCTACAAGGATCTATCTTCACCCCTTGAGGTACCAGACCGCTCAGTTCATTTTTATATTTTGTGAACACCGTAAGTTTTCCTGTCTAGACTTTCTGTTTTTCCTCCTATTTCTAGGCTGCCTAATCTGCTTCAAGACAAAGGGTCGACCCGGATCAAATATCTCCCCCCCCCCCTTTAACCGCCTGGTGCGTCCACTTTAATGAAGATCGACCCCCTCGCGGCAGCCACCCTTGGGGTCTCTAGGAGAAAGGGAGCTACGCAGAGCCCGGGGGACCCAGCCGGGGGAAGATGGTCGGCGCCCCCGTCCGTGGGCACGCCCTTGGGTGCGCACGGAGCCCAGAGGCTGATCTGGAAAGACTCTGCCTGGGCCATTTCTCCCTCTCACGGCCCTCACCCCGATTCTTGCTGGTGTGCCTGCCCACACAGAGATTTCGGGGTGGGGGCGTCCCGTCCCTCCGACTTCCCCCGGCTCGCCCTCCGCCCGGGCACAGCGCGCCACACGCGGACAAGAGCGGGAGCAGCCTGGACCCGCCGGAGAAGTCGGTCCTCACTCTTCTGCCGGCTCCTCTGCGCCCGCAGGCATTAAAACCTCACCGAGAGGGCTCGGCCCGGAGGCGCGGACGCGGAGTTGGGCTGGGGGTGCGGGCGCTTCTCTCAGGTGCCCAGACTTGCGGCTGGCGGGAGAGGCTGCACGCGCTCCCATCCGGCCTGGGCTCTCGCACCTGAGGCTCGCCTCCTCTGCTACGGCGAGGTGCGCGTCTCTCACCCCGAGCCCGAACCCCAGCCGGGCCCGAGGCGCAATCTGTTCCCGGCCAGAGCCTTCCAGAGT